TATAAACTGTCTACACAATCCTACTGGCTTCTATAAAACAGTCAGTTGAAATAATCCGATTAATCAAAAAATCATGGTCCTCCAGTCTCCTAGCTCATATTCTCCTCTCTCACTCTTTCTCTCTCTGTGTTTCTCTACCCCTCTGTATCTGTTGTCACTAGCCACACCTTGCTTTGTAAAGGCGTGTCTCAGCCTATTTGCACCTGGGTCGATTACCACACCTATGAGAGATTTGGTCATCAGACTGTTGCTTTGCTGTGTGATCATGTGTCACTGTAAATAAACACACTGTACTGAAATCTGCATTTTGAGTACTTCCGACCACTAGCCATGACAAAAATCATCGGGATTTGACAAAAGAATAAAAGAAAGAATTCAAACTCGTACTTAGAGAAGTCATTCACATGAATATCACCTCTCTGTCCAGCAGCTCATGTGTATCTCATGTAACTCTATATGTTCTGTTTCTATATCCCTCCCAGTAAATTCATCAGTAGTTAATCGCTCTCCTGTCACAGTTCTATTTGTTTAAACACACCTCTCTGTAATTTGAAACGATGCCAGAAAGTGGTAAAAGTCAGAGGTCAAAGTTCAACCACTGCTAATGGATTTTATTTACCGCCACGGATCCTCCTTATGCTCTCAGGGGCTGACCCACCTTCTCTCTAATCCAGCCACAATTTGTGTCCAAATGATGGAAAAACATGTTTTTTTTAATGTTCAACTTTCTATGAATCAAGTTCACACAGACATGATTATCCTCTTTTTCAGCAAAACGTCCTCAGTTTGTTGAAATAGTCGACACCATGTGAGAACAATAAATGTATCACTTTATGTTGTAACCCACAAGTTGAACGGTAATGAAATGACTCTCAAAGTAAAACATCACTGCTTCCACGTCCAGTTGGTTGGACTGTGAAGGCGGAGTCAACTGGACCCAATCTCACTGCCCAGTGCGCGCTCCCGAGCAAAGGGGTCAGGTGCCGCTTCTTCTGCACTAAATGACAGCTGCACATCAGAATCAGAAACTTTAAACTGCATACATTTAAACATTTAAGGCCACTGTGCCAGTCTAATAAAAGATCTCTTAGCTTGTATGCAGATCAAACTAAATTAATTTGACTGATTGAAGAACTATTCTGCAGTTCCTGCAGCTACCAGAGTTTTCCTAGTTTTACAGCTTCCTGACTGTTTAAACAGGGGCGGATCTAGAGAAATTAGGGTGTCAACGGAATCAAATGGGGTGGAAAAATCAAAGGCTTTTTTTTTTCAAACACATATACAGGTGGTTACATATGGTTAAAATTATTCAAATTCAGTAAGTATACACGCTTTTCATATAAATATAATCTTAATTATTAATAAACTTAATTATTTTCTGTAGCCCACATAATTAAACATGCGAATTTTAATACTATGTACTGTAGCCTGTATAATAAATAAATATGTAGCCCACTAAGTATACAATCCAGAAAGCTACACAACGTGGGGCGGTTCATTTACAAACACAAGTCTAACTTAAGTGTCACACTTTTTTGTTAGAAAAAAAAATCGAATTGTTACACGATTAAATTACACAAAATGTCAGAAATCTGCACTGTCATGAACAAAAATTTAAACCAAATTTTTCATGATTTGTTGGATTAACCCACTGAGGTCTAAAATATAACCGTCCATGTTTGACTCCTTTTGATTTCACATTTGTATTTCACCTTTAAATTTTTTCATTTTATTTTTTTGTCTTGCCTTGCTTGGTATCATTCTTTTCAGCTCAACCTCACGAGTTTACAGTTGTTTTTTCATTGACATACTGTATTAACACAACTCATCTGAAATCACACAAAAAACATAAAATCCTAGTCATAGCTTTTTTTTACTGTACAAATCACAGACATGTTGAGTAAATTATTTTATAAGTTGAAATGTAAATATAAATGTACATTTTGAAAACGTATGCACACATTTTGTAAACATGTACAACTATTTATCTAAAAATGCAGCCAGTACACCTGCCGTTTTTTAATTTTGTGCAACCAATTAAAAAAACTACTATAACTAAAATGAGAGAACAATCAGGTGTTGCAATAAGATGCCCCACAAATTATTTGTTCCAGTAAAAAAAAAAAAAGTTTGTCCGCCACAAGACAAAGGAGAACACCACAGGGATAAACCTGCAGGCCTAACAACAGGAGGTGTATCACTCCTCTTTTCCACCTAGAGACGGTGTTTACATTGTAATCTGCATTTGTGACAGTCATTAGTGCCCTCATTAACACAAAAACAACATAAAAGACTAACTACACAACGCACACTATGCACTCCAAGCTAAACGTCACAAATCTCGCCCATCTCAAAACTCGCTCTCTCTCTCTCTGTCACTCGCTTGCTCTGTCTCTCTGCCCCCTCTTCCTAAACAACCAAATCCCACATGTTGACTTTTAAAAAATTGGTCGACATGGTACATTTTACTTTACTGTTTTCACGCTGACCTTAGAAAATGCTTTTAAAACAAACAACAACAAAAAAACTGTGACAATAGTATTTAGAAAAAAGCATGGCTTATATATATTTTTATCATAACTCTGGATTTAGTGGCCTGTCATTAGCTCTGTTCTGGTGGCTAAGCTGTCATCCCTGTTGGACAACATCTCCCACCCCATGCATGAGACTCTGACAGCACTGAGCAGCTCCTTCAGTGGGAGACTGCGGCACCCACGGTGTGGGACGGAGAGATTTCGCAGGTCTTTCCTCCCCACTGCTGTCAGACTCCACAATAAAGACTTTTGCAGCTGATCAAACACACAAACCCACACATGTGCAATAAGACTGCTATATGTACAATTCTTCTTCTGACGAAGTTGTATTTTTGTATTTTCCTACTCAGTTGTATATAGTATTTGTATTTTATTGCATTCCAGTGTTTTCTAATTTCTGCTATATAACTTTGCACTTTTGCTGTAACAAAACAAATTTCCCACCTGTGGGACTAATAAAGGTCATCTTATCTTATCTTATTAAAATGTAAAAACCAGTGTATACTTTGAAGTCCAAACCTTCAACACTGACTGAGACTGCAGCAGTTGCAGCTTAAATCAGTCATGTGATTTGGAGGTGGTGTCTGTGGACCCCAGAGGGTTAATAACACTCACCTTCATTCCATTTCCAGAGTGTAACAACCAGCCACCTGTGTGAACTCTGAAATTCCCATGGTGTTTTTCAAAATGTGCTCTGGCACAATCATAGGCATCGCTTGCTCCAAAGAAGCCGGTCTGCACTATGGTCTCACCCATTTGTTATTGGTGGACTGGGGGAACACTATGCAATATATTCAGTTTTAGCATTTACATTCACTGTTAACTGTAACTATGCTAAAAGTGTTAATGCTATCTTATTTTAATAAACAACACTGTCATATGCAAAATTAGGGTGGCACTTGGGGTGGCAAGAGATCATTTTAGGGTGGCACATGCCCCTCTATGCCACCCTTTTAGATGTGCCCCTGTATTTAAAAAGCAATTTTTACATAATTTTTTAACCAGACGGGTTTGAAACGTGGTGATTTATGGCCAAGTTTTTCATACAATGGCGGCATCTAGTGAATCCTACAAGTACTTCCTACTTCCCAATCAAGCAAAGTGAAAGGAAAAACAGCAGCCGGCATTTTTTTTGTTTCTTTTTTAACTATCCACAGCTAATGGATGCAGACAAAGAGGAACGATCCTAAAAGATGTGGTCTCTGTGATGTTTGGACACACTGAACTAGTAACATACTGGTAAAATTCATGAGGAAGAGGCGGACAGTTTTTAAGCTTTACTTTTCGGCTGTTTCTCTGATTCATGAGTAAAGAAAGCACACAGCCCTACCCTCTGGTTCCCATAAACTGCCTCCCCTCTATGGACTAAAACTCTAATGTTATATAACTCAGTGAAGTATTCAGAATCTAGACTTTTAATCTCCAGTGTTTCACCTTCCTGTTATTTTTGCACTAGATATCTGAAGGAATGGAAATGAACTGTAGATAAATTGTAGTAAAGTGGGTCACTGGGTCCTAGTCCTATGTCCTTGTGTTTAGTATCTTTTTTCTGTCATGTGCCTCCATGTTTGTTTCTTTCCTTGTTTCAAGGGTGAAGTGTTTTCATTTCTCTCGTCACCCTTCTGTATATATTCTGTCTGGTTTCCCTTTGTCCCTTGTCAGGCTTTCTGTTCTTCTCATGTCACGCTCCAGGTTGTTCAGGTTTTAAGATCTATGTCTCTACTGTTTAGTATTTTAGTTCTCCCAGTTTAGTTCTAGTTAGTTTCGTCTGAGTTTCCTTCTGCCATTTGTTTTGTATTCTTCAGCCTTAAATAAACAGCCGGCTCTTGGTTAAGATGTAGCTTTGCTTCCATGCAGAATCTGCAGACTATGTGTGTGTGTGTGTGTGGGGGGGGGGGTGTCTTCGAGACCTCTATAGATTCTGATTAAACTTCAGTACAGCAGAGCCAAATTAAATAATATTGTACAGCTTAATAACTTGTACATGTATAAACTTGAAAATGATCTAAATTATTTTATATCAATATGGCACCGCTGAAGATCATTCATGCGAGTCCAAGCTGGTGAAAAATAGAGAATACAATCTAGTTTCTCTCCCAAGGATTGGCTTCTTACCTCATCTTCTTCTGGTATCATTTTCAAAGTAAATAAATAAATAAATAAATAAATACTTAAGCACAAACTATGACAAAAAGAAAGAAAAAAAAATCTAAATTACATTGTTTAACTTGAAAGTTTTTATTTACTGAAAACGTTTTCAGATATGTAAAACGATATTTCCAGCAATGTTATTTATTCCCTTCACTCTTCTTACAGTAGTGTTTATTTCCTCATCATTTCCAGTACTCCACACTGGCATATTTTTACAAGGCTGATTGTCAGCTGAGGTATGTGTTCTAATGGTGACATCTAGTGGATCCTAAAAGCATTAACAGAAAGTGAAAGTAAAAGCAGCTCAGCTGAACACACCCAGAGATTAAAAGAACAAGTTTTGAGAGACTGCCAAAAGAAAACAGTTTCTATGATATCTGGAGGCAGAGAGCAGCATCACACAGGTAAGATTATAAGGAAAAGATGGACAGTTTTCAAACTGCAGAAACTTCGTTAAAGTTGTTTCTAAATGTGACACGAAACCGTTGTACAGACTTTTTTTTACAGCCCTTTGGTTTCCCCATCGCCTCCGCACAGAGGTCACCAGCTGTTGAGGTGAACTGGAAATTTGAGATAACATCATAAATATTTATAAATAACTCACTGCGTTATCTCTAACTCTTCAAACTTCAGGTTTAAACTTTCTGTCTGTCCGTTTGGAGATCCGCGTTTTATGTTCTTTATGGTAAATGACCCGCATGTGTAGGCTAACTCGAGGAGCTCAGTGTTAAAGGTCAAGGGTTTGTTTTTCGTTTCGACGAAAAACAAACCGGATTTTTCGTACGTCATATAAACCCTTTGTTTGCATTATTTTTGAAACAAAGGGATTCCTGTAACTTTGTGATGTTGTTGGTAAATAAGGAAGTTTTATTCGGATCAACAGCCCTGTACTTTGTCAAATTCCAAATGCTACAAATTAAAATCTCCGGGATCATAAACACAGACAGTGTTAGAGACGGTCAGAGAGAAAAACGGAGATCTGTGGTTAGACCGCGTAGACATGTTTTGGGATCAAGCCTATAAACTCAGCTTTCTGTAAACGAGCCTCTCATGCTCAGTCATTTGGGAGCTAACCACGCTAACCGCTGCTAGCTCGGGAATGCCTCTGTGTCCACCCGGAAGAACTGGAGGTAGCCTCCACAACTGCCAGCTTATGGAAGTCGGTCACGTGGTGGTGACAGTTATCCTCGTTTGTGTACATCTGAACTGTTATAATGAAGTTTAAATTCAGATTTATAAGTGCAAAGTTTATCATTATCATTACTATTATTAGTAGTATTAATTGGAGATGCAACAAGCATTTACAGATGAAACCTAACTAAAACGAAACTAAAACCTAACTAAACTTTTAGTTTGGGAGTAAAAATATAGCTCACACTTTTCAGTGCTGAAGACTTGCTGCTGATATCAGTGTCCTGATGCTGCAGACTTGCATTTTAATAGCGGCTTCATTTCTCTCATTTATTTTCTAACATGCAAGTTTTCTTTTCTTTCAAACGTGAAAGTATAAATAAAAACTCATCTAAACTGCATCATCTAAAGTATATAAATATCTTCATATTTTACAAATGAATTTGTTTAGTTGTTAATAAAGGTCTGTCTGTATTCCAAATGTTTTATAAATATATGACATAAATGTTCTAATGCGGTCTAAATTAATGTTAAATTATATCACCATAAAAAGCTGATGATTTTTAACATATTTGAACAAGCAAACGTGATCTTTTTCAAAACATTGTCTACCAGAGGTGTGGACTCGAGTCACATGACTTGGGCTCGAGTCAGACTCGAGTCATTAATTTTATGACCTTAGACTTGACTTGAAAAAGTGTTCTAAGACTTGTGACTTGACTTGGACTTTTACACCAATGACCTGGGACTTGAATTGGACTTGAACCGGTTTACTTGAAGAGACTTGATATTTCACTCCAATTATAAAATTTAACACGCATATTATGTAGAAAGTGTTATTCATTTGTTCAATTCATTCAATTCAAACCACACTCCGTATGTATGTCTGCGTGAGCTGTAGCACAGCCAATCAAATTAACTCAAAAATGCTGCAAGGAGTTATTTTTTTCTCATACATAAACTATGAAGTATTCAACAAAAAACCGAAATGCAATATGCAAAACATGCAAGAAGAGAATCACAGACAGAGATGGAACAATTTCCAACTTTGTCCGACAGTTGAAGTTCCATAAAGAACAGGAGGTGGTCCTTCTCTTTTGCTACGATGAGATAGCTGACTTCATCTAACTAGCAAATGTTGTCCAGGCTCCGTTGGTGATGCAGTTTTTTTTAATGTGTATATTTTTGTCATGCGATTTTAAAGCCGGTCCAACAACCGCATCCAAGAATAACATGCAGCTTATCTCAGAACTGTCGGTGAAAATTATTCTTGGAGTTAAGTTTAATTGAGCTGCATTCTAAAGAGGTGCAATTTCACAATTTGTGTATATTTTCTAAGTTCACTATTTTGTCATGTGTTGAGAAAAACACAGATTTAAAAATCACATGGTCTAATATTTACATTTAGCATAACTGCAACATTCTTTTAATTTTTTTTTTTTTTTTGTAAGACTCAAAAGGACTTGAAATTCAAAGTTTCAGACTTGTGACTTTACTTGGACTTTTACACCAGTGACTTGAGACTCGACTCTGACTTGCCTGACATTACTTGAGACTTTACTTGAGACTTGAGGATAAAGACTTGAGACTTACTTGAGACTTGCAAAACAATGACTTGGTCCCACCTCTGTTGTCTACAAATAAAGTTGCACATTACACCAAAACTACAGTTAACTAAATGCAACAAATAATTTGTTCAACATCAAGTATTATGTTATTATGTGGAAAACAAAACAAAACATCAAACCGTAGTATCTCCCCTTTTAGATGCTTTTTCACTCTTTATAATTGCTGGACAACAACAACATATGAGTATTTAAGAGTAATCCTGTCCTAGATTTTTCTCAATTTTTTCAGGCTGCTAATTCTCCTCCTGCTGCTGCTATCTGGACGAAGTTTAAACCATGACAACACCAAACCAATGAAGTCCACTTGGTCTGCAACTCAACATACCATAACACCAGCCAGGATGTTAACCCCCTAGCTTTGGTGTATTAAACATCCACTTACTGGCAAGGGGCATCTTGTCCAGGATCTCCTCTCTAACTGTAAGTTAGACTTCTTGACTGAAACATTGCAACAGACTGGAGACTTTTTCTCACTCAATGAAGCCACTCCATCTGAGTCTTTTTGAACCTGTCATACACTCAACAAAAATATAAACGCAACACCTTTGTTACTGCTCCCATTCCCCATGGGATGGACGTAGAGACCTAAAATTCATTCCAGATACACAATATAACCATCCCTCCCAAACAGTGGTCACAAATCAGTCCAAATGTGTGGTAGTGGGCACATCTGCTATATTGAGATAATCCATCCCACCTCACAGGTGTGCCACATCAGGATGCTGATCTGACATCATGAGTAGTGCACAGGTGTACCTCAGACTGCCCACAACAAAAGGCCACCCTGGAATGTGCAGTTTTTTGCGCTATTGGGGGTCTGGGGACCCAGAACCGGTCAGTATCTGGTGTGACCACCATTTGCCTCATGCAGTGCAACACATCGTCGCATGGAGTCTATCAGATTGTCAATTGTGGCCTGTGGAATGTTGGTCCACTCCACTTCAATGGCTGTGCGAGGTTGTTGGATATTCGTGGGAACTGGTACACGCTGTCGTATACGCCGGTCAAGCACATCCCGAACATGCTCAATGGGTGACATGTCCGGTGAGCATGCTGGCCATGCAAGAACTGGGACATTCTCAGCTGCCATCTGCCCTGAACAATGTGAACCATGATTCATCCGTGAAGCGCACACCTCTCCAACGTGCCAGACGCCATCGAATGTGAGCATTTGCCCACACAAGTCTGTTACGGCGACGAGCTGGAGTCAGGTCAAGACCCCAATGAGGACGACGGGCATGCAGTTGAGCGTCCCTGAGACGGTTTCTGACAGTTTGTGCAGAAATTGTTTGGTTGTGCAAACCAATTGTTCCAGCAGCTGTCTGGGTGGCTGGTCTCAGACGATCTTGGAGGTGAACCTGCTGGATGTGGAGGTCCTGGGCTGGTGTGGTTACACGAGGTCTGCGGTTGTGAGGCCGGTTGGATGTGCTGCCATATTCTCTGAAGCGCCTGTGGAGACGGCTTATGGTTGAGAAATGAACATTCAATGCACGGGCGACAGATCTGGTTGACATTCCTGCTGTCAGCATGCCAATTGCACGCTCCCTCATTGCTTGTGGCATCTGTGGCATTTTGCTGTGAGACAAAACTGCACATTCCAGGGTGGCCTTTTGTTGTGGGCAGTCTGAGGTACACCTGTGCACTACTCATGATGTCAGATCAGCATCCTGATGTGGCACACCTGTGAGGTGGGATGGATTATCTCAATATAGCAGATGTGCCCACTACCACACATTTGGACTGATTTGTGACCACTGTTTGGGAGGGATGGTTATATTGTGTATCTGGAATGAATTTTAGGTCTCTACGTCCATCCCATGGGGAATGGGAGCAGTAACAAAGGTGTTGCGTTTATATTTTTGTTGAGTGTACTTGAGGCTTAGGGAAGAACAGGGGTCTTGCGATGATCCATTGCAAGCACTGGAAAGTTCTTCCTGTCTCTGTTCCCATCTTTCACTCATTTAAATTCACCACTTTAAAGCTCCCTCTACATACTCTTAAAATCATATATACTGTTTACTGACCACCTAAGCCAGAGAAGTATTTTTTTAATGACGTTGCTGCTCTTCTTCCTCATTTCTCTGTACTTTCTTCTAACATGATGATCTTTGCTGATCTCAACATTAATTTGGACAGTGATAATAACTCCCCTTCCAGACAATTCACATTCTCCTCTCCCTTAATGCATTAGGTGGTATACAAGTGGATTGCTATGGGCCTTAACAAAGTAGACTGGGATTAACACTGGGGAAGCAGGTATGTAAGCAGGGTGCCAAGCTTGGTAGCATTGGAGCTGAACTGCATCTGTAAGACTGTATGCAGTCTCTGGGTGTCCTCCAAAATGACAGATGTTGCCTCAGGTGTTAAATCACTGGGAAATGAGGAGTAATCTGGTACTGGGTCTGAGTGGCTCATCAGGCAACAGCTGTAGTGTAAAAGAAAATTCCCGTATGAAGCAGACAAACAGAGTAACAAGCTCCAATACATTTATTTACTTGAAAGAAGCCAATAGCATGCACAATAAATGTCTATGCAAGAGCTCACCAAGGCAATCCGACGAGTTTCATTTATATACTCCCTCCAACGTTATCCTATAATAAAAACTCAAAAGTTATAACAGGGGTCGGCAGCCCTGGGCACGTGAAGGGTTAACTAATGGCACAACACGCAGTGAATTAATCTGAGAAGGTGCATTAAAAATGAATGCCTGGGTCAGCAGTGCACATCGCAAAATAGCCTCTTAATGACAGTATCATAGCTAACAACCCCAACTACCAGATTCAACTTGTAATTGGCTAAAATAAACTTAGCCTACCAGTGAGAGGGATGTTGCTAGCTGGCAGTTTTTTCAAGCGATGTTGAAATTTCCACATTCCGACCTTCAAATGCTTCAGGAGCTGCACAGCATCAGCACCGCAGAAATACACGGATACATCCGTAGACTAGAGACAGAATTCACAATGTGTTTTCAGGACTTTCAGGTGTGGACCAATGTTTTCTTTTCTGATTAACCAGAAAGCTTTATATATATATATATATATATATATATATATATATATATACAGAAAGCTATATATATATAGCTTTCTGGTATATATATATATATATATAAAGCTATATATATATAAAGCTATATATATATATATATATTATATATATATATATATATATATATATATATATATATATAAATATATATATATATATATATATATATATATATATATATATATATATATAAAGCTATATATATATATAAAGCTATATATATATATATATATATATATAGCTTTATATATATATAAAGCTATATATATATATATATATATATATATATATATATATATATATATATATATATAGCTTTATATATATATATATATATATATATATAGCTTTATATATATATATATATATATATATATATATATATATATATATATATATATATATATATATAGATCCTGTGGGACTTCCAGATACAGACGGACAAAATGGTGGTGGCTAACCAACCGGACATAGTGGTGGTAGACAAACAGAAGAAGACGGCCGTAGTGATTGATGTAGCGGTTCCGAATGACAGCAATATCAGGAAGAAGGAACACGAGAAGCTGGAGAAATACCAAGGGCTCAGAGAAGAGCTCGAGAGGATGTGGAGGGTGAAGGTAACGGTGGTCCCCGTGGTAATCGGAGCACTAGGTGCGGTGACTCCCAAGATAGGCGAGTGGCTCCAGCAGATCCCGGGAACAACATCGGAGATCTCTGTCCAGAAGAGCGCAGTCCTGGGAACAGCTAAGATACTGCGCAGGACCCTCAAGCTCCCAGGCCTCTGGTAGAGGACCCGAGCTTGAAGGATAAACCGCCCGCAGGGGCGTGCTGGGTGTTTTTTTATATATATATATATATATATATATATATATATATAAAGCTATATATATATATATATATATAAAGCTTTCTGGTTTGATCAGAAAAGAAAACATTGGTCCATACACCTGAAAGTCCTGAAAACACATTGCGAATTCTGTCTCGAGTCTACAGATGTATCCGTGTATTTCTGCGGTGCTGATGCTGTGCTGAGTGGACAGCTCCTGAAGCATTTGAAGGTCGGAATGTGGAAATTTCAACATCGCTTGAAAAAACTGCCAGCTAGCAACATCCCAAGAAAAAGCATGTGTATCCCTGTATTAAAAAAAACATGTCATATTGGCACAGTTTATTTTTCTTATCATTGTTGTGAGGAGACCATAATTAGCATTTGCATTGTCTGTTGTACAGTTTATTTGCTGTTATGGAGTTCTTGTTATGGATAAAACGTGTCTTTTGTGTTTCAGAATAGCTGATAACTATTCACTGATAGCTGCCAACATCTGCGAACAAATTTAATTCTAGAAAGTTGTTCTATAGAGTGTGTAACTGTTAATATAGAGCGTTATTACATTTATTGCTAATGCAATCATATGGCACACTGACTTCTGAGGAAATTTTAGATGGCACTCATCATCAGATAGGTTTTCGTATTTCTCTCATTACTGGTGAACTCCGTTATTACTCCCTGCTCTATTTCAGCCCACTTGTCAACCAATCAGCGTTGGGCAGCTGCATACATTATCCACTTTGCGCAGGCAGGGTCTCACATGGGTGAAAACCCCTCTCCCCCCTCTGTCTGACTGAAAAGTATATATAGACAGACACATTTGCAAAACTAAAATTCCACTTAGCAAAAATCTACAAAGGGATAAAATTAGCAGGTGCTAACAAAGTGGCTAGAGGCAACACATCATAAGGTTAACAGCACCAACCATGTTGGCAGACACGTTTCACAAGGATGGTAAATACATCAATTTAAAATGTTACCATTTCTTCTGGAGAAATTTTATATTTTTGACTAGATGTGTGTAAAGTTTTCTTTGAAGGTTTCATACATTCTTATATATTTGTTAAATTGTAAAAAGCAAGCTGCAGTTTGTTATCTGGGTTTACAGACAGACTGTTATAATATGTTGTGTTGTCTATTATCACTGTATATTGTTACAGAATTATTCTCAATATTGTCGAATTGCTAATTTTATTGAATTGCAAGTCATTGTTAAGCTGTAAATATTAATTCAGTTTAAATTATATATATATATGTATATATATATGTATATATATATGTGTATATATATACATATATATATATACATATATATACATATATACATATATATACATATATATATATATATAAAACCTAATACATCAATGATATAATAACTATAAACAGTTCAAATATAGTTAAACTTTTTAAATGAACATTTTTAAATTAGTATTTTGATCTGCAGGTCAGTGAAGTTGGGTCAGCGTGTACACATAAGGAAACATGGCCTGCACATCACAGTCTGCGTTAGACTGGGTCACGAGTGCCAAACGCCATCTTATAAGTGGATTAAAGGATCTCTCTGTGATTTTGGAAAACTTGAATCAGAAAGGTGTTCTTGGTGATGAAGAAGTCAGCAATATAAAGGCAGAGAAAACTGATGAAGAGAAAATAAGAACAACACTGATCTCAGTCACAAAAAAAGGAGAAGCAGCCTGCTATGAGTTACTCAAGATTATCTACATGACAAGGAAGAGGACTTTAGAGAAACTGCTTCTTCCTCCTGAGAAAAACAGCGATGCTTCCACTGAGAAAAACAAGTTTGATCTGCATCATTGGATCAGCTGCTTTTCCTTCAAGGAGGAGACTCAAGTCAATACACACTACTTACAAGGTATTTTGTAGTAAAATCTCAATTTAAAAAAATCTTTGATGTACTGATGAACTGCACTTTAATACATTGCACAAATGTTTCTGTTATTTGGAAAGACAACTGATTTAATTCATAGTGAATTTGTTTTGTCACTGTTTTTTAGGACCAAGGTCATGCCACAAATATCAAGAAAAGTTAAAGTCAAAAGCAAAAAAAATATCAAATGACTTTTGGGCAGCAAGTAAAAAATGGTTTGAAGGAAACAAGAGACCTGATCTGTCATACTCATCACTTATATTAGACACAGAGGAAAGTGTTTGTCCATCTAAAATAAAAAAATTAAAAAAAAGGAAAAGCAAGCTGAGTCGCCCTAAAAAACTGAGGACATACATCCCTGAAGAGAAACCCACCATTTCCCCCACTGTGCTGCTGAAAACAGATAAAAACATTATCTTGGTTGGAAAACCTGGAATTGGAAAGACAGCACTGACTCATGAAATGCTGAGACTCTGGGCAGAAAGAGAAAGCAAAGAGCTTGATTACATGTTTTACTTTGACATGAGGGAAACAGCACAGATCGTGAACGCCAAGGATTTGGAAGAACTCCTTTTCAGCTTTTATTGTGGTCCAGATGAAGGCAAAGATGAGGTCTTACAGGACATACAGAGTCACTCTGACAATGTTACAATTATTTTTGATGGACTCACAGATCTCTCTTCACCAGTGGTTACAAAGATTGTAAAGAACAAATTACTACCTCTCGCAAAGATCATCATAACATGCAGACCAGATGATGAGGATACAAAGTTGTTTTCTGGAGACTTTATCAGAGTGGAGGTGAAAGGCTTTAGTGAGCAGACTATTAAAACATACTTATCTGCAACACTCGGTGAAGATCAGACGAAGGTTTTGAGTAACTTGGAACTGATAACTCTTTGTCATGTCCCCATGTATGCACTGATGATGGCTGTTTGCTTTTCATCAAAAGATGCTCCACAGCCATGTACAATAACTGAGATATACATCAATATTGTTCGATTCTGCCTTCAGATAAACAGCAAAACAAAGAACCAAAAGCTGAATTTCTTCATCAAAACCAAGAGAGAAGAAATTCTGTCTCTAGCTGAAGCTGCTTTTCTTGCAACCCAACAAAAATCCGTGAACCTGACAGACCTGACCTGTAAAGACATCTGTGTCCTGTCCTTCCTGAAACCACTTCTCATCAAGGTGGCCCCGACTGAAACAATAACCACATATGCATTCCTCCATTACACAGTGCAGGAGTTTTTTGCAGCACTGTGGATCTTGATGAATCCTGATAAAGTCAGAGATGTTTTTCAGCAGTGCCTCACAGAGGAGAAGAAACACATGAAACATCTGATCCCCTTCATGTGTCGATTGTTGAATGAGAAGAGCCCAAGTTTGATGAAGCATCTGATTCCAGATCAGGACCTGAAGAATACATCTAACTGGTTCTTCAAGGAGCTGATTAACACATTTCTTCCTCATCTGTGTGAGCAAGAAGAGGCTGATACTGAGGACAGTGGGCTCCATGTCGACATACTGTTCGTATGCCAGTGCTTGTATGAGTCCCAGAGTCCTGAAGCATGCGTCTACCTTCTAGACAAACTGGACTACCATCTTGACCTCAGTGGAGACAGTCTGGATCCTTACCCTTGCTGTGCTGTGGCCTTTGTGGTCACTCAGTCAAAGGAAAGGAAAATAAGGCTGAACCTCAAGGACGTGATCATATCAGAACAAGGAATGAGACAGCTGTTTGGATGCTTTGAAAATGTCCAATGGTAAGAATGAACATGCAGTTTTAGGGTTATATTACTGCTTAGGTTACAACCTGTAATAAGACTCATATTCTTGGTTAGTTTTACAATGAGATAATGATCTCTTCTTTCAATTATAGGTCTGACTCTCTGGCTCAACAGCTGTGGGAGCTTTTTCTTATCAGTGAAGAGCAGATGGACTTTGTAACCTTACTCAGCCTAGATGGAAACCTTCACCTTCCAGTTGATGGTGAAAAGCAGCTTTATGAAAGAGCTGTGGAAGTCATGCAGAGGATGCATACAAAGGTTAATGTCTGCCTCTACTGGGACAATGAAACTCCTCCCTGTCAGAGTCAGTGTGAGTCTCTACTAAAGGCTTTCCCGTTCATCAGCTCAGTCAGGTATGTAGCTTTTCCTTTCAAATAATTATGTACCTGCTTATTTTTATAGTCTGTGACTGTTAAAAAAGAGACTTATTTTGTGGTGGCATTTTAAAAAAATAGAAAAGGAGCTTTAAATTTTGAACTGAAAGCTGGATAATGTGAAACCGTAAATCCCGGACTACAGAGCGCACCCGATTAAAAGCCGCATGCTCTAATTTTAGAAAGAAAATCAATTTTGTACTTGTACAGGCCGCACCGGATTTAAAGCCGTATGCATTTCACTTGTAACATGAGATACACAGTAATATTACACGTGAGGATTTTTAACGTTTAATTTCATCCGTAAGCTAACGTAAACGTTATGGTAACATACAAAAATACATACTGCAAATGCTTTTTTTCCTCCAACAGCGCCTTTAACACAGCTACCTTTAAGTATATGTACGTATCGGTAACACAGAAATTACGATGCTTGTGGGTTTTTTACGGAACAGTGCACAAACAACATTACAACGTCTCTTAACAACCGGTAAAAAATATATACCATATATATACTACTTATCAATTTTATTAGTCTACTGTTACCAGGCAAAATATTTTTGGTCGCATGAAAAAAAATATGCATTAGCCGCACGTCAGTATAAGTTCACAGTGTGGGAAAAATGTAACGGCTTATGACCCGAAAACTACAGTAAATCTGAGGCCTTACATTTCATAGAATCCGAGAGGCCTCAGGCTGGTCTCATGGTGCTTGATGAATCTGAATGTCTAATATGTTAGTTTTCATTTCATTCATGAAGCCCCAATTCTGAAAAAGTTCAGAATTCGGGGATACTATTTAAAATTTACATAAAAAACAAATAGGAAATCTCAAAAACCCATATTTTATTCACAATAGAACACAGAACCTATTAAATATCAAAACCTGTTGTGAACCAAAGAAAATTTAACATTTTAGGGAAAATATTAGGTCATTTTGCATTTATTGGCAGCAACACATTTAAAAAATTTGGGATGAGGCCAACAAAAGGCTGGCACTAAAAAGAAAAAGCTGAAGGGACGTTTTGCAACTACTTAAGAGCATTTACCATTCAGAATAATGTAGTGTAAAAAAAAGACTTTGAAGATCTAATTATCTACAGTACATAATATCATCATTAGATTCAGATAATCTGAAAAAAATCTCTGTGTGCAAAGGACAAGGATGAAAAACAATATTGGATACTTATGACCTTTGAGCCCTCGGGCAGCAAACCAGCATAATTATGTCATGAAAATAATAATAATAATGATAATGATAACAATAATGGATTGCATTTATATAGCGCTTTTCTAGACACTCAAAGTACTTTACAATTCCACTATACATTCACTCTCACATTCACACACTGGTGGAGGCAAACCATAGTTGTAACCACAGCTGCCCTGGGGCAGACTGACAGAAGCGAGGCTGCCATATCGCGCTATCGGCCCCTCTGGCCAACACCAGTAGGCGGTAGGGTGAAGTGTCTTGCCCAGGGACACAACGACCAGGACAGACAGAGCATCACTGCATGAACTTGGGAATACTTCCAGAAATCACTGTCTGTTTACACAGTTCACTGTATTATACCAACGCAGTATCATGGCAAAGCCTGTTATAGACATGCTGGCCCACAATGTCCCTTCCATGCTTTCCCACACCAAAGCATGGACAGCATGCAAGGTGAGGGTATGGACATACACCGACTGGTGAATTGAGAGCTTGACTTTTACACTCAGGTCTCTCTTCACCATGACAGACCGGGAGCGTTCGGATTACTGCAGCCGCAGCACCACTCTGTCTGTTGATCTCCCGCTCCTCGCTCACGAACAAGACCCTGAGCTACTTACTTTTCTGGCAGAGGATCCTGAGCTCAGACTTGGATTTGCTAATTCTCATACCTGACGCTGCGAACCACTCCAGTGTGAGCTGGAGGCCACCACCTGATGAAGCCAACAGAACCATATCATCTGCGAAAAGCAGAGATGAGATTCTGAGACCATCCAAGTGGAAGTCTTCTGCCACTTGGCTACACCTAGAAATTCTGTCCATAAAAATTATGAACAGAATCAGTGACAAAGGACAGCCACTGCTTGCCAGAATCTCTTTGAGGCACTCCCAAAGTCTTTTTCCGTGGCCTCACTGAACTCCTCCCACATCCCAGTTTTTGCTTCAGGCACTGTTAAAGCCATGCTCAGCTTAGCCTGTCGATGCCTCTGAAGTTCTTCAGGCTACCCAAGTCAGATAGGACTCCTTCTTCAGCCTGATGGTTCCCTTCAGCACTGGTGTCCACTGTCTGGTTTGGTGGTTACCACAACAACAGGCATCAACATGCTAGCATAGATCTGATAACATGATTATCTAATTGATCATTGACCTGTGGCCTAGAGTATCCTGGTCCCACGTGCACTTATGGACACCCTTATGTTCGAACATGGTGTTTGTTATGGACAAACTGTGGTCTGCACAGAAGTCCACTAGGAGAACACCGCTTGTGTTCAGAACTGGCAGGTCATTTCCCCCAGTCACACACCTCCATGTCTCACTGTTGTTGCCTGCATGAATGTTGAAGTATCACACTAGGACGACAGAGTCCCCAGGTGGAGCACCCTCAAAGACCCCACATAGGGACTCCAAGAAGGCTGGGTACTCTGAACTGTACGTGCAGACCATAATCGGGCAAAGGTGTAGGGAACCAGACCCTCTCATCCATTAGGAAAAACTCCAATGTACAGGCAGCACGCAGAGAACATACTAACCCACCCCAGTCTGCCACCTCTCATTAAAGGCAACTCCAGATTGAGACAGTCCAGCCCCTCTCCAGGTGACTGGCTCTGGAGCCCAAGGCATGTGTTGAGGTGAACCCGACTATATCGGGCGGGTAGCTCTCAGCCTCATGCATTTATTCAGCATCCTTACCCCACCAGAGACGTGACTTTTCATGTCCCACTGGCTAGCCTTGGTAGCTGGGGATCGGTTTGCCAATGTCTCCACGCCTTCAGTGATGTAGATGGTGGCCCTACAGAAGGGTGTTCTTTTTGTGAGCTTTGTATGGCCAGACCCCATGGATTCAACTTTCGCCCTTATGCATATTCCCTGTGCCTTGCAGCAGGGTGGGGCCCCTTTGACCCTATCCCAGGCAGGGTCAGCTGTTGCCTAGGTCTTTCACTCATAGGGGTTTTGCATCTGGGTCCTTTTCTCCCCATCACTAATTGTTTCCATCCGCCCGCTCAATCACATGACTGCCTGTGTTCTTCTACTTTTCCTTTCTTTTCAACAGGTGCAGATTATCAGTGTTTTCTCTCTCTCTTTCTCTCTCTATCCATCTTTTTCTCCTCTATTTTTCTCTCCCTCTCTTTCTATTAATTTTCTCCCCAGTGTTTCTTTCTTGTTTTTCTTTTCCATCCCTCTGTCTTGTCCATTATGGTTGTAATAACTCAAAATAAAAAAATCCTAGTAAAGTTCTAATAAAATATGACTACCAAGTGGACCATTATAGCAAATGTTGAAATGCTTCAGTAGTGAAAATAAATCTGCTTGACATTTTTTAGGCTTCAGACAACAATTGTGATTGCTACACTGCCAGAGAGGATAGGGGGGAAAAAAGTTTCAGCCTTGGCCGATAAGGACCTGTGTGTGTGTGAAACTGGTTGCAGAAATTCAAAATGAAAAGAAATGTGTCACCAGCCCATCATTATACATGATTCTGAATGAGAGAAATTGTATTAAGTATTTTTTAATTGTTAAACACAAAATCATAATTTATACATGATTTTACTGATATTTAACCACACTTAATTAAAATACATTAAAATAAAAAATATAATCAGGTCTAAATTTAACCAATATAATGAAAAAGAAAATATCATCTACGAAATGATTCTAATAACAGGCATCTCACTGACATTTCATATGGAGCGGCTTGTTTAAGCTACAAGATGGCCTCAGAGGCTGTGTGTTGATGTGAGAGAGAAGGATGGGAGGGGGGAGTGAGTGAGTCAGACGCTAAGGAGCTGTAATCTAAAAAAGAATGTCTGACTTTAACATGTATGATTTAAAAATAAGTTATATTTAATATATTGTGACCGACAAAATAAGATTATATATAAGGTATAAATAGAAAAATGTTTTTTTTATATATATACATATGTATTATTTCCCCCTGCTGGTACTGGAACTTCTGCATGTGTGCCCACTTCACACTTTGGAGAGGGAAAATGTGAAATGGCCACAGTGGAACGCCATGTCTATTACACACTTTACCATGATATCGGGTTTAACTCCACATGTTAAAGCTCATATAAGATCGTGTAAAGAAGACATATGAGAACATGAAACACTGCTCCAGAAACATTGCTGTCTTCTCTAGAAAATTTGGACCCTCATCCTCAGGACTAAAGTACTAAGTCCTCTGTTCAAAAGCCTGCATCTCTGACAGTATAGAGCTTCATGGAATCTGCAGCTTGCTCAAACAGAAAGGCATCATCACTGCTAAAACTTATAAACAGGTTTTAGAGCAATATATATATATTATATATATTAAGTATTAAGTTTAAAGGCATATTATATATGCCTTTAAACTAAAGACAATGACCTTTTTTTAGGGAAGGCCCTACATATTTCAGTCAGATAATGCTAAACCAGATACTGCATCATAGTAGAATAGTTCAGGTGGTGAACTGGCCTGCTGGCAGTACAGACCTTTCACCAGTTGACACATGACAAAATGAAAAGAACCATTGAGTAGCTTGAATCCTCTATCAGGCAGGACTGGGACCACACTCCTCAGATCCCAGGTGTTTAGTGATTGTTGATAAAAGAAGAGAGGGTGCTACAGAGTGGTAAACATGGCCTCATCCCAACTTTTTGGAGACATTTTGCTCCCATCAAATTCATTTTCAACATTTGATATGTTTTTTTTTAATGTTCTATGATGACCAAAATACTGCTTCATGAGATTCACAAATCATTTTATTCTGTTTGTATTTATATGTCACACAGCATCATAGCTTTATTAGAATTCGGTTTGTACAAGCACTGACATTCTGCACAAAATATCCATCATAAATGTTGTGGTTACCTATTTGTACTACAGCATGGCACGGACCCTGTGTGTCTTCCCTGCTGTAAATTGTATTTTTTTTTTTTAAGATTAAGATTAACACAAATGTGTTTGTACATGTGAAATTCTCTTATTCAGCTTCAGAGGTCCAGTTTCATGGAGCCAGGAGAAGTACCATTGGACACTGGAGAGGGAGCAGAAGAGGCTGTTCATGGATTTATGCCTGAAAGCAGCACTTCATGATGAACCAAACTTCTACAATGTAGTGAAGATGCTTCTCCCATTGTTTCCTGTTAAAACTGACTTGGACAACATCTTTCTTGATTTGTTTCAATATGTGAATAGCAAAGAGGTTTTAGGTGACTTTCAGGGTTTGAGGCCATTTTTCCAGTCAGCTCCTGCAGTCTGGTCCATAAACCTCTCAGAGAGAAAGACCTCCATCCTCCTGGAAGTGCTGAAACTCCAACCAGAGAAGAAAGAAGTGGAGCTGACAGGCTGCTCACATGAAGAGAGTGAAGTGAGGAGTTTCCTGCAGTGTCTGCCTTATATCTCACAGCTCAGGTAAATATGTTGGATATCTATTTAAGTTAAGCTGCTCAATCAAATTATTGTATGCCTTCAAAAATATTATGTATTATATTTAGAATCTGTATGATTTCAGATTCATTTCTCAGTTATCAGACCCTTCAGAGGAAATCAGATTCTTGGGAAATCTGATCTGTGCAGCAGCAGAAAGAGATCAGCAGGCAGGAGAGAAAATACTGGAGCTGTTATCATCAGTGTGCAGATACAAAGGATTCCCTCTTAAAGACATATGGTGTGATTTACTGCTTGATCTGTACTGTTATAAGAATAAAACAGGCAGGAGTGTCCTTCCATCATTACAGTCAGTTTTCCAGTCAGCTCCTGCAGTCTGGTCCATAAACCTCTCAGAGAGAAAGACCTCCATCCTCCTGGAAGTGCTGAAACTCCAACCAGAGAAGAAACACGTGGAGCTGACAGGCTGCTCACATGAAGAGAGTGAAGTGAGGAGTTTCCTGCAGTGTCTGCCTTATATCACAGAACTCAGGTAAATTTTCAGCATTTTTTTTATTTGTGTTTCTCTTTGATGTTTTTTTCCTTATGCAGATTTAAATATTCCAAGAACATTAACATCATCTAAAGAAGCTATCAGATTGTCATTGAAAACATATATATATTGCTTAATTTCAGTTTCAAGCCTCAGGCTTCACAACCTTCAGAAGAAACCAGGTTCTTTGTGAATCTGTTCTGTGCAGCAGCAGAGAGAGAACAGCAGACAGGAGAGAAGATACTGGAGCTGTTATCATCAATGTGCAGCTATCAAACATTCACTCTTAAACAGAAGTGGTGTGATCTTCTACTTGACCTCTACCCCAGTGTGCTTGAAAGGGGCTTGAGTGTCCTTCCACCCTTGTGGTCAGTTTTCAAATCAACTCCTGCAGTCTGGTCCATAAACCTCTCAGAGAGAAAGACCTCCATCCTCCTGGAAGTGCTGGAACTCCAACCAGAGAAGAAACAGCTGAATCTCACAGGCTGGTCACATGAGGAAAATGAAGGGAGGACTTTCCTTCAGTGTCTGCCGTATATCTCACAGCTCAGGTAAAGTATTAGCTTTTATGCTTTTATGTTTTCATAAGAGTCTCTTTGATGTACTTCAGCATTTCGGGTTAACAGAACAAGGTACGAAATGTCATACTAGAAGCATGAAATATTTCAACTCACTTTCATACTACAGTTTTCATGAAATGTGCTGATATTCTTGATTTCAGTTTTAGTACTACATCATCAGAATCATCAGAAGCAGTCAGGTTCTTTGGGGATCTGTTCTGTGCAGCAGCAGAGAGAGAACAGCAGACAGGAGAGAAGAAACTGGAGGTGTTATCATCAGTGTGCACATATAAAAATCTCCCTCTGCAGGAGATATGGTGTGATTTCCTAATGGACCTGTACTATTATACAGCGAAAACAGGCTTGAGTGTCCTTCCATCATTACAGCCAGTTTTCCAGTCAACTCCTGCAATCTGGTTCATAAACCTCTCAGAGAGAAAGACCTCCATCCTCCTGGAAGTGCTGAAACTCCAACCAGAGAAGAAACAACTGAGTCTCATAGCTTGGTCAGGTGAAGAGAGTGAACTGAGGAGTTTCCTTCAGTGTCTGCCTTATATCTCACAGCTCAGGTAAATTATTGTCTTTGCAATGTGTGTTTGTTTTTTGTTTTTTTATTTAATTATTCTTAAATTAAAGAAATTGCACCATTGTACATTTTTCTAGTGTGTAAAATAAACAAACACATTTTGTACTGTTTAAGCAAATGTTTTGCTCTGTCTGTTAAAAATCCATATCTTAAGGTCCATTCTTTCATTTCAGTGTTGTTCCTGAATTCTCAGAAGAAATCCGGTTATTTGGCTATCTGATCTGTGCAGCAGCAGAGAGAGAACACTGGACAAGAGACAAGATACTGGAGCTGTTAATATTAGTGTGCACATATAAAGGATTTCCTCTTAGAGAAATATGGTGTGATTTCCTACTGGACCTCTACTCCAGTGACTTTGAAATGGCTTTCAGAGTCCTTCTATCATTACAGCCAGTTTTCCAGTCAGCTCCTGCAGTCTGGTCCATAAACCTCTCAGAGAGAAAGACCTCCATCCTCCTGGAAGTGCTGAAACTCCAACCAGAGAAGAAACAAGTGGAGCTGACAGGCTGCTCACATGAAGAGAGTGAAGTGAGGAGTTTCCTGCAGTGTCTGCCTTATATCTCACAGCTCAGGTAAATGAATGACATTTTTCTAATTTATGTTGTCAAATTTATTTCACAATATGGGCCACATAAGCCCACTTTGATCTTAAGTGGACCATGCCAGTTAAATTCACATTTCTGTCAGTGTTAATAAGTTACCATATTTTTTGGACCATAAGGCGCACTGTCGATGAACGGATCTGTTTTCATACATAAGGCGCAACGGATTATAAGGTGTCACGGCTCGTGGGATGAGCCGTGTGGAATTATTAAAGGACCCAAAACGCAGGCAAAGGACGGATGATATGAGTGAATGTTTATTTTCAAAGTGGCAAAAAGACAGCAACAGGCAGTGGGGGTATGAGAAGCAACTGAGGAAACCTAAACTGGGAAAACTAAAGAGCAAACCTAAAATGATAACCAAACGGGGTGAAGGACAGAGAGACGCAGACAGGTGCAGGGAAACCACTCAGGATGATGGAGGGGATTAATGCAGACAAACCGGCAACAGGCAGGAGAACACACAGGGCTTAAATACACAAAGCAGTAATCAAGGGATGGGAGACAGGAGGGTACAAAAACGTATTTTATTTATTGTGTCTTTTATTGTATCTCAAATTATAGCGTCATAATGATTACAGGACATCAGATTGCTTGTTCTTATCACTTAATAATGCAAAGTTCATCATATAGAAATAAAAAACCTGAAGTTGTGCGCTATTTGAACACCTTGCCTGCCTGCAGCACTGAAGGGCTCCGTGAGAGACGTCCGTCTCGCCCTAGCAGCACCTGTCCCTGTCCACTCCTCCTCTTCAGTTCGCCCCAACATATGCTCGTCATATTCTGTGATAGGATTTACTCTGAGGTGTTTGACAACTTTGTGGTGTTACCACAACACCTCATTTTCTTGCCACATGTATCGCAAACCACGTCTCGGCTGTTTGTGGATGTAAAATACGTCTGCACATGACTCCAATTACGCTCAGCCATTGTTGTGAGTGCGCACGCCAACGGGGCTGCGACACATTTATACAGCCGTATTTTGCACATGACTATGAAAGGCGGAAGAGGAAGTAGTTCCTTCCAATGTAGACAATGCGAATGAAATAGGTTCTTTCCACTGTGTTCCTGTTAATGTTAAACTACAAATTTACCCTAAATTACTAAAATATCAGTATTTTAATGTGAGAATCGATTCTAGAACATAAATGACTGGTATCGGAGGAATCAACATTTCAGTATCGATCCGCACATCACTACAAAACACTGAGTCGTCAGACTCAGGACCACGACATAAGGCGCATTAAGTGAAACAAAACAGTCAGATAAGTCAAACTTTATTCAACTTGTTGTTCTTGCTTCCTCCACTTCCGTACCATTGATTCATTAATGCTGAATTGTCTCGCAGCTGCTCTATTCCCATGTTGTTGCAGTATATTAATGACTAACCTCGTATTGTGGATGGATTATCTCAGTTGTTTTCCTGACTGAAGTTTGGTCCGTTTAAAACATCCTGCCATGCGATTGCATTTGTCCCAAACCATCGGGAACCCTTCCCTTTGAGTGGAAAAAAGTTAGCATTCATCCACCAGCTTCACTGTGTTTATGTTATGCTAACATAACTGTGTCGCTAGCGATCACGTAGCACATCATTATATACCAGCTAGTCCAAATTCAGTAACCCTGCAAAAGTCACTGCTGTTTAGTTTTGTGTCTTCATTTGTGTTGGAAGTGATAGCAGTGTTGTACGTTTTAACGTTTTCAGAAATCTTTCATTCAGAACATGCTATATCATGTTTAGGTGAAAGCTAGCGAGCTAACTTTCTGCTAACTTCCTGCTAACTTCTAACACAGTTAAATTTAATAAATTCTGTTTTCATAGATGCCTGGATGTTAAACTTAATTGTTACACCTGGTAAAGCAGCAATGCTGATCATTTTATTAAAGATGAAAGAATTTAGACAGTTTTTAACTTTTAGTGATGCTGCAGTGTTCGTTTGACCTTGGGACCTGAAAGGATGGAGTTTTGGAAACAGATTACTCCGGGAGGCGCCTGACTACATTAGCCGTAATGCTCTGACAATCCATCAAGCAGTGCGGCTTCGTAGCTTAGCAAAGTCATACTAAAACATTTCTTGACAGATTTGAGCGTCGCGTACCACACAAAATCTATTTGAGGTCAGTAAGCACAACCAGAATTCATACATAAGGTGCACTGTCGAATTTTGAGAAAATTAAAGGATTTTAAGTGCGCCTTATAGTGCGGAAAATACAGTACGTGTTAAACTGTGTTTCTATATGATAAATAATAAGTTGCTGTGACAAAGAAAGAAATCTATTACTAGGACTCTGTGGACATATTGCAAGAAATAAATGTGTAAAATTTCAGAAAAAGTTCTGGTAGCACATTGAAAATCTGGGAGTTGGCCAGTGCCCCCACTGGGCCCCTGCTGGCCGCGCTCTGCCAACAGCCATCAATAATGGCATATGAAATTAATCTTGCATGTACATTAATTTGTAATAGTATCACTTTTTCTGTTCAAAAACTATATTTCTTTTTAGTTAAAAACTATGTCACATTTTTTTACTCATGATTTCAGTGTCATACCTCCGTTGTCAGAGCCTTCAGAAGAAACCAGGTTCTTTGGGAATCTGTTCTGTGCAGCAGCAGAGCGAGAACAGCAGACAGGAGAGAAGATACTGGAGCTGTTATCATCAGTGTGCAGATACAAAACATTCCCTCTGACAGAGATATGGTGCGATTTCCTTTTTGATCTGTGCTCCCATGTGAAGGACTATGAGATTAAAACAGGCAGGAGTGTCCTTCCATCATTAAAGTCAGTTTTCCAGTCAGCTCCTGCAGTCTGGTCCATAAACCTCTCAGAGAGAAAGACCTCCATCCTCCTGGAAGTGCTGAAACTCCAACCAGAGAAGAAACAAGTGGAGCTGACAGGCTGCTCACATGAAAAGAGTGAAGTACTGAGTTTCCTTCAGTGTCTGCCTTATATCTCACAGCTCAGGTAAATGAATTGTACTTTACATGATATACTCTACATATAGAGTGTTGTGATGTAAACTAGGTAAATTAATCAAAGCTTAGTATATTATAAAATTCTGATTTTGTTTTAACATTTAGATTACACTTTTACAGCAATTTACCACAGAAAAGAAAAGATGCTCTTCTGTGTTGTACAATACAATAGAATTGGGCACCTGCATGTCAGCACTGGATGAACCAAAAGCTCCAAACAAGAGTCAGTAGAAGAATGAGATTTTTTCATGATTCCAACACACATACTTAACTCTGCTGCTCACTACACAAATGCATTTTCCTTACAAGTGTGGCACCATTTAAGAGCAAACACACAGACTTTCCAACAGCTGGTAATGGCCTGTTTGAAGCTGAAGCTCCTGCCCATGGGTAAAAAAAACCTAACACAGTGCTTCAGAAACACTGTGATGAGGCTTGCTTCAGCTGAACAGAATCATGTGATCAACGTTTTCTGAACTTCATTTGGCACATCACTGCTTCAGTACCTGATTCAATGGTTTATAAGGAATTGAATGGTGGGATTTGTGCTGTGTTTTGGTAATTTTGTGTGAGAGATGGCAAACCGGTGTGTGACACAATTAGAGACATGAAGCCAGGAAAAGAGGACGCTCTGCCTATTCCTAAATAAAAACCAGTACATCAGCAATTCTGTTCCCAGGTCTAAAAAGTACATAAGAAATACAAGATGATATTATATTTATAATTATAGAAGTTATAAACGTACCTGTCCACTGGTTAATTACATAATCACATGGAGGCAGCAAACATACTCCTAACTTATTTTAAGATTGTGTTGTACATTGTTATATAGAGTTTTTGTTATTTCTATTAATAAAAACACATCAAGAAGTCATAAAGAAAATGAGAGCACTCCGTGGTACATGTTTAAACAAGGAAGCCTTATTCACCATATCAGCCCGATACCAGACAGAACTGTCATAAAACAGAAGCTGTCACTTCAGCTCTGTGGGCAATCATAATGAAGCAGTTCACTATGTTGTAGATTCAAGCTGCGCTTCATATGTTTGGCCACCAGATGTCACCATAGATGACTGTGTTGAAACGCTTCGAGTAATGAACTGTTTTTCAATACAAGCTCCAATGCTTCAGAAACCTTCATTTGGCCAGCAACAGCAGAATTTATTACTAAGAAGCATTGTGAGAACAAATAAATAGCTGACCAAACACAAATGTCCTTACCTTCTTTGCTAAGTTTATATACAAGAGGGCAATTGGGGGAAGTGAGCAGCTGGATAACATGACACAGGTAATCACAGTCAAGCACAGTGAGACTAAACACAAGACACTGGAGACAAGTAACTATCCAAAATAAAAATGAGCAGTGAGAACCAGAACTAAATGTAAAGACAGACACAAGATCTTAGCACAGAAGAGTTGACATAACAGGATGGGGGAATGAAAAGCAAACTGAGACACAAACTGGAACAAAGAAATCAAAACTAAGAAAAAGGAAATGCATAAAATGTTTAAAAAAAAATTTGAAATAAGAATTAAACTATTCAGTAGCAGACTAACAGATATTTAACAGCAACATAACTTAAAAATTCATAAACCAAAACACTGGGTCAGCAACCAAGGACCATGAAATGGGCAGTCAGCACACCTTGATCCAGCTAAACATATCTAGTTCATAGAAGGTAGCAAAAGGTAAGTGGCTAAAGCTAACACTAGCCAGAGCTTGGAGCAGAGGTGGCAAAAGTTTAGAAATTATGTATTTAAATAGAAGTACAGATACTTGTTTTTAAAAAAAAAATACTTTATTAAAAGTTGAAGTAGTGATTCAACTTTGCCTATTTTCAGAAATAAGTGGGGAAGAGGTTAAATTGGTATTCAACATGGGGGGAGTGGGACCTGAAAATCCATTGTAGTGGCTCAGGATGGGGAAAAGAATTACATCTCAGAATAATTTTTATTGAGAGCTCCAGTAGATTTTCTTTTTTTTTTTTATATATTCTTTATTTCTACAATATTACCTCATAAAGATGATTACAGGCATTAATTAACACAGTTTACAAGAGAAAAACGAAACAAAACGAGAAGAAAGACAGATAGAAAGAAAGAGAAAGAAAAAAAAAAGGAAAAAAAATTATATATATATAAAATAAAAGGAGAAAGCTCTGTCGGGAGTAAACAATTAACTAAATTGGTGGTTTCAAGCTTTAAAGAGAAAATTCGGTTTATAGGTATTAACGTATTGGACCCACTTATCCCAGCACAGATGGAACCAGGCCATCCTGTCATTAACATGAGCTGTTACTTCCTCCATCCTATATATCTCTAACGTAATTTCCCACCATAATGACAAAGTCGGTATGTCTTGCGAGGACCATTTCTTTGTTATACATTTCTTACTTGCAACCAATAAAGCTCTTAACAGACATATGTCATTTTTGGACCAGTTCTGCGGTATACAGCCAAAAAAATTGTCTTCATATCCTGAGGGAATGTACAGTTAAAAATGCCTTGTAATATACCATGAATGTCTTTCCAGTAAGTCCGTAGCACAGGACAGTCCCACATAATATAGGTGTGATGGGCTCCTTGGTATCCACAGTTTCGCCAGCACACGGGAGGATTCCCATCATAGTGAGCCTTTTGACATGGAGTGATAAAGAACCTTATCAGAGTTTTCCATCCGAACTCCCTCCAGCTTTTGGAGGAAGTACTCCTCCATTGCCATTCCCACATCTGAGTCCATTCTTCCCTAGAAATACACATCCCTCCCTCCTTTTCCCATAACATCTTCACATAATCAGTTGAGTGTGGAAGCTTATTCATAAAAAAATTGTACCAAAAAAAAATGAGTCTTGTGTCAACATCCCCACTGTACGCCTGTCTAAATAAAGTTACCAATTCCACGTTAGTATTTGACATCTGACCGATTGTTGTCTTTATATAGTGTCTTATTTGCAAGTATCGAAAAAAATCCTGTTTTTCTAGATTGTGTCTCTGTTTCAGCGTGTCAAAACTAATAAGGTTCCCATCCTTTATCAAACTATCATATGTAGATAACCCTTTAGCAGGCCAGCTTTTAAAACGTGAGTCCAATTTATTCGGGGCAAAGTCAGAATCATATGCATACCATTTGAATAAAGCCAAATCCTGTTCAAGTTTGAATTCTTTCACGACTTTTCTCCATATATTAAGTGTGCACGACACCCAGGGGTTATGAATCTTGTCAATATATTTTCGAATATTCGAGTCCATCAGGACAGCTTGTATTGGGGAGGAAAACATATTCTCCTCTATAGTCTTCCAGTGTGCTTGGTAGCTTGTATCACACCAATTAACCACCGTTTTCAACTGAGCAGCCCGATAATAATTTTTTAGTGATGGCAACCCCCATCCTCCCACCTTCTTATGTAATTGTAAAGTTTTAAAACAAACCCTTGGCCGCTTCCCCCCCCCATATAAACCGCGTTATTATTTTATCCCATTCATTGAAACGACTTGGGTCAATGGATATTGGTAGTGTTTGGAATAAATATAATATTCTTGGCAAAATGTTCATTTTAATAGATTCAACTCGTGAGTGTAAAGAAAGAAAGGGGATCATGTTCCATCGCCTAATATCACCCACTATTCTCCTTTGTAGAGAACCAAAATTCTCCTCAGATAGTTTAGTTAAATCCTTGGGAATAACAACTCCTAGATATTTCAATGATTGTGCTTGCCAATTCATTGGATATTGAACAACCATGTGAGCTGGGGGGTTGTAGTTATAGCTGAGAATTTGAGTTTTAGACATATTAATTTTATATCCAGAGAGTTTCCCAAATTTTTGACACAGATTCATCAGTGAAGGCAAGGAGTTAGTGGGCTGATCTAAATAGATCAATATGTCATCCGCATAACAAGCGAGCTTGTGTTCCTGTCCTGCAATAGTGATCCCCTTAATGTCTTTATTTTGTATAATTGATTGTGCCAAGGGTTCTAAGTACAATGCAAACAGGAGCGGGGACCAAGCACAGCCTTGTTTATTTCCTCTCTGCAGAACGAAGCTATTTGAGAGAGAACCATTAACTTTAATTCTTGCGGTGGGGTTAGTGTATAGTGCCCTCACCGTATCAACAATTCCCTTATGTAAGCCGAATTTATCCAGGACTTTATATAGAAAGTCCCAATTTACAGAATCAAAGGCTTTTTCTGCATCAATACTCATAAGCATGGCTGTACTCTTAGATGTCTGTATCTGATGTATTACATGAAGAGTTCTACGTATATTATCCTGGGTCTGTCGTCGTCTTATAAACCCCGTTTGATCATTGCTAATTAAGTCAGGTAAAAATTCTTCCATTCTCCTGGCCATTATCGAAGTAAACAATCTATAATCTATGTTAAGGACAGAAATAGGTCTATATGAGCCACACTCCATTTTGTCTTTCCCTTCTTTCGGAATAGCCGAAATAATTGCCTCCTTCCAACTCGGTGGAATTTGCGCTGTTTTTAACACACAGTTAAAAGTAGTAAGTAGTGTAGGGATCAAGTCCTGTTTGAATTCCCGATACCACTCCGCGGTGTAACCATCGGAGCCTGGTGACTTATTTGATTTCAGCCTATTGATGGCATTCATAAGTTCAGCTTCCGTCACCTCCGCTATCATCGTTTTATTTTGTTCCTCGTTAAAGCTTGGTAGGCATAAAGAGTTCAGGAAGTTGTCCATTTCCTGTTCAGCCCCCCCTGGGACTCCCGCATATAATGTTTTATAAAATGACTCAAAGGCGTTTTGTATCTTGCAAGGATGAGTCATTATATTCCCCGTCTCTGGGTGTTTGATTTTAGTTACAGTATTCTCCGCTATCTTCTTCTTAAGTTTCCATGCTAAAATTTTCATTGATTGCGATCCTCCATCATAATGTTTCTGTTTCAAATATAACAATTTTCTCTTTATCGTCTGTATACTCTGCGTATTTATTTCATTTCTAATCATTGTTAGTTTCTGCAAGGTGCCCGCTAAAGGCTTATGTTTGTGCTCACTTTCTAATTGTTTTTGAATCGCTTGTAAATCTTCCATTTTTTTCTCTCTTGCTTTTTTTTGGAAGGAGGCAATCCAGTAGATTTTCTTAGTGTTGTTTCTTAGTGTAGAAGTGATGTGATTAGCTGATCTGGGCTGCTGCTTTTCTGAGATTCACAGGTCTTTGAACTAAATTCAACAAGATGTAAGCAGATGTTTTATAAGGTGACTGTTTTCATTTTTAGTATGGCTAGCTAGATGCTGAAGTACTGCAAACAACAGTTATGGACACCTGCAGTTGTTTGGGTGTTGTGCCAAGAAAACAAAAATGCCAGCACTATTTAACCCTGATTATGGCACACAGTTTTGCCTCTTAATGTCTTTTTTGGAGGGGGAATGTTTTAGTTTTACATGATGTCAGGTACAGTTGGGAAAATGTGAATCATCAAAAAAAATTTTTATTGTCAGGTCAATCAACAAAATTCCACTAAATGCATCTCTCATTCTCACTCACAGCCGGTAATGTAACAGGTCCAAGTTGTCATGTTTATCTTCAACAGTTTGTGCATCTTTGCACATCCAAATCTCTGGGATGAACCAGGACATCCCTGCATGAAATAATGTTGAAATGTAACAGTTTTATATAAATGATAATGGACATTTCTGTAATGCAACTGACTTCTGACAAAATGTTCAATTTTCCTTCCAGTTTCTCTCCTTCATTTTTACTCTCAAGTCAAACGGATTTGACATGGGAAGAAGCAGAGAGAGAACAGCAACCAGAAGAGAAGATACTGGAGCTGTTAATATCAGTGTGCAGACATGGAACGTTCCCTTTTAATGAGAGATGCTCCTGTGCAGACTGTGATTTCCTGTTGGATCTGTTCTCCCATGTGAAGGATTGTGAAACTAAAACAGGCCTGAGTGTCCTTCCATCATTACAGTCAGTATTTTCAGCTCCTGCAGTCTGGTCCATAAACCTCTCAGAGAGAAAGACCTCCATCCTCCTGGAAGTGCTGAAACTCCAACCAGAGAAGAAACAAGTGGAGCTGACAGGCTGCTCACATGAAAAGAGTGAAGTACTGAGTTTCCTTCAGTGTCTGCCTTATATCTCACAGCTCAGGTAAATGAATTGTACTTTACATGATATACTCTACATATAGAGTGTTGTGATGTAAACTAGGTAAATTAATCAAAGCTTAGTATATTATAAAATTCTGATTTTGTTTTAACATTTAGATTACACTTTTACAGAAATTTACCACAGAAAAGAAAAGATGCTCTTCTGTGTTGTACAATACAATAGAATTGGGCACCTGCATGTCAGCACTGGATGAACCAAAAGCTCCAAACAAGAGTCAGTAGAAGAATGAGATTTTTTCATGATTCCAACACACATACTTAACTCTGCTGCTCACCACACAAATGCATTTTCCTTACAAGTGTGGCACCATTTAAGAGCAAACACACAGACTTTCCAACAGCTGGTAATGGCCTGTTTGAAGCTGAAGCTCCTGCCCATGGGTAAAAAAACCTAACACAGTGCTTCAGAAACACTGTGATGAGGCTTGCTTCAGCTGAACAGAATCATGTGATCAACGTTTTCTGAACTTCATTTGGCACATCACTGCTTCAGTACCTGATTCAATGGTTTATAAGGAATTGAATGGTGGGATTTGTGCTGTGTTTTGGTAATTTTGTGTGAGAGATGGCAAACCGGTGTGTGACACAATTAGAGACATGAAGCCAGGAAAAGAGGACGCTCTGCCTATTCCTAAATAAAAACCAGTACATCAGCAATTCTGTTCCCAGGTCTAAAAAGTACATAAGAAATACAAGATGATATTATATTTATAATTATAGAAGTTATAAACGTACCTGTCCACTGGTTAATTACATAATCACATGGAGGCAGCAAACATACTCCTAACTTATTTTAAGATTGTGTTGTACATTGTTATATAGAGTTTTTGTTATTTCTATTAATAAAAACACATCAAGAAGTCATAAAGAAAATGAGAGCACTCCGTGGTACATGTTTAAACAAGGAAGCCTTATTCACCATATCAGCCCGATACCAGACAGAACTGTCATAAAACAGAAGCTGTCAATTCAGCTCTGTAGAGTGGGCAATCATAATGAAGCAGTTCATTAAAGGTTGTAGATTCAAGCTGTTTTTCATATTTTTGGCCACCAGATGTCACCATAGATGACTGTGTTGAAACGCTTCGAGTAATGAACTGTTTTTCAATACAAGCTCCAATGCTTCAGAAACCTTCATTTGGCCAGCAACAGCAGAATTTATTACTAAGAAGCATTGTGAGAACAAATAAATAGCTGACCAAACACAAATGTCCTTACCTTCTTTGCTAAGTTTATATACAAGAGGGCAATTGGGGGAAGTGAGCAGCTGGATAACATGACACAGGTAATCACAGTCAAGCACAGTGAGACTAAACACAAGACACTGGAGACAAGTAACTATCCAAAATAAAAATGAGCAGTGAGAACCAGAACTAAATGTAAAGACAGACACAAGATCTTAGCACAGAAGAGTTGACATAACAGGATGGGGGAATGAAAAGCAAACTGAGACACAAACTGGAACAAAGAAATCAAAACTAAGAAAAAGGAAATGCATAAAATGTTTAAAAAAAAATTTGAAATAAGAATTAAACTATTCAGTAGCAGACTAACAGATATTTAACAGCAACATAACTTAAAAATTCATAAACCAAAACACTGGGTCAGCAACCAAGGACCATGAAATGGGCAGTCAGCACACCTTGATCCAGCTAAACATATCTAGTTCATAGAAGGTAGCAAAAGGTAAGTGGCTAAAGCTAACACTAGCCAGAGCTTGGAGCAGAGGTGGCAAAAGTTTAGAAATTATGTATTTAAATAGAAGTACAGATACTTGTTTTTTAAAAAAAATACTTTATTAAAAGTTGAAGTAGTGATTCAACTTTGCCTATTTTCAGAAATAAGTGGGGAAGAGGTTAAATTGGTATTCAACATGGGGGGAGTGGGACCTGAAAATCCATTGTAGTGGCTCAGGATGGGGAAAAGAATTACATCTCAGAATAATTTTTATTGAGAGCTCCAGTAGATTTTCTTAGTGTTGTTTCTTAGTGTAGAAGTGATGTGATTAGCTGATCTGGGCTGCTGCTTTTCTGAGATTCACAGGTCTTTGAACTAAATTCAACAAGATGTAAGCAGATGTTTTATAAGGTGACTGTTTTCATTTTTAGTATGGCTAGCTAGATGCTGAAGTACTGCAAACAACAGTTATGGACACCTGCAGTTGTTTGGGTGTTGTGCCAAGAAAACAAAAATGCCAGCACTATTTAACCCTGATTATGGCACACAGTTTTGCCTCTTAATGTCTTTTTTGGAGGGGGAATGTTTTAGTTTTACATGATGTCAGGTACAGTTGGGAAAATGTGAATCATCAAAAAAAAATTTTATTGTCAGGTCAATCAACAAAATTCCACTAAATGCATCTCTCATTCTCACTCACAGCCGGTAATGTAACAGGTCCAAGTTGTCATGTTTATCTTCAACAGTTTGTGCATCTTTGCACATCCAAATCTCTGGGATGAACCAGGACATCCCTGCATGAAATAATGTTGAAATGTAACAGTTTTATATAAATGATAATGGACATTTCTGTAATGCAACTGACTTCTGACAAAATGTTCAATTTTCCTTCCAGTTTCTCTCCTTCATTTTTACTCTCAAGTCAAACGGATTTGACATGGGAAGAAGCAGAGAGAGAACAGCAACCAGAAGAGAAGATACTGGAGCTGTTAATATCAGTGTGCAGACATGGAACGTTCCCTTTTAATGAGAGATGCTCCTGTGCAGACTGTGATTTCCTGTTGGATCTGTTCTCCCATGTGAAGGATTGTGAAACTAAAACAGGCCTGAGTGTCCTTCCATCATTACAGTCAGTATTTTCAGCTCCTGCAGTCTGGTCCATAAACCTCTCAGAGAGAAAGACCTCCATCCTCCTGGAAGTGCTGAAACTCCAACCAGAGAAGAAACAAGTGGAGCTGACAGGCTGCTCACATGAAGAGAGTGAACTGAGGAGTTTCCTTCAGTGTCTGCCTTATATCTCACAGCTCAGGTAAATATGTTTTCCTTTAAAAACATATCTGCATGTGTAACACAGTATACTTCACTACTACAGAATGTAGAGTAAGTTAGGATCTTTGGGGTTATGTTCTCTAGGTAAAAACTAAGGAGCAACTGACACACAACTAAAAGAAAAGTTAAAACAATTATTGAAACAACCCCATAAACAGCAGTTTAACATTTCACAATATTGAAATTTCACAACATTTCAGTCTTCTCACTTTAGGTGTCTGTATAGTGTTATTGTTAGTAGTATTACCCGGATAATGTATTGTATGGAGATCTCATAAGATTATCAGTCCAGAATTAATGCAGCTATCACTTCTAAGTAGGCTGGAAATTTTGCTGCATCAAAGCTGGAGATCCTGCATCCTGACTCATCAGAGGTGGATTAATGTGTCGCACTTGAACGATTTTAGACTGCAGAAAAGAAAAAAAAAACCCTGCTCAGGCAGTGAAGCCATTTTGCATCAGTGTTGCATGATAATTTCATCACCACAAGTGACTATATCTCTTCATATATAACAACTTAATGCAATAAATAAAAAACTGAATTAAAGGACCTTAAAACATTTTCCATCTACAGCTGTCAACACAGTCTTGTCTTTTTTGAACAGCAGTTCTTACTGAATTGTGAGAATTCACCTCACTGTTACATGAGGGAATTACAAAACACTGTTATATTTATCACCTGTTTACAGTCAAGAAAACATACCTCTTAGTTTTAAATAAACAAGATAATAGAGCACTTAAAGGAACACACAGAATTTATGTTATACCTAGCTAATGGCTATCTTGCTATGCTAACTCAGTAACTCATCAGACATCCAAAGGAATAATTAAACAGAGGTACACCAGCATCAAAACAAAAGGTGTCCTCATTTCCCAACAAGCACAAGAGTAAAACCCAACTTTGTGTCTTCAATCATAACTTTTTAATCAGAACTAAAGAGAAAAGAAACTCTGACCAACAACATACATAGACTAAATGTTGTTCTCCTTAGCTTTAAGTCTGATGTCATTGGCCCTTTCTGGGTCTAAACTCCACTTCAGGTCCCAAAGTAAAAGAAACACTGAGGCGTCACTGAGAGTTTAAAACGAAATTATTTAATCTTTAACCCTCTGGGACCCCAATTTAAGACGACACAGCAACACGATGCAGCAACCCAGTCTCCATTTCAACTTGGATCGAAAGTGCAGACTTCAAACTATATACCAGTTTTTAAATTGTGTTGAAAGGCCACGTAAAACCAGAGTTATAATTAAAAATACTCACAATGTTTTTACTGAATAAAACAGTGGTATTTACAGCATAAGGAAAATGCAGTTTTCTAAGGATAGCACTAGCAAGCACTCTCCGCTTGTGAGCAAAAAAAAAAAGAAAACACCCCTTTCCTATCGCTGTTAATGTCACGGCTGGGGGAGGGAGCCGTGTGGTGTGGAGGAAAAGGAGGACCCAAAATGCAGCAAACTGATGATACGAATGACGTTTTATTTACAGGGTGGTAGTGGCAAAAACAGGCAATGAAGCACGAGTAATTACAAACGGAAACCTAAACTGGGAGAAACTAAAGAGCAAACCTGAAATCTTACAAAACGGAGAGCGGAGCAGAGAGACGCAGACCAAGGACCAGGATACCAAGAAACACAGACGAGCCGACAACGAACACAGACCGACACCCACTATATATACACACACACACACACACACACACACACACACACACACACGGTAATCGCACACAGGAGGGAAGAACAGCTGATCTGAATACACATGATGACTGGAGGACACAAGCTGAACACAATGACAACAGACACAGACTTTCAGAACAAAACAGGAAATCTAGAACCCGAACCGGACACAAGGGGGGAGGACACAGAATAACTAGAACAGAGGGAAATAATCACAAAACACAAAACGCTGGGTCAACGACCCAGGACCATGACAGTACCCCCCCTCCAAGGGCTGGCTCCAGACAGCCCAAAACAAAAACAGACGACCAACCCAGGGCGGGCGGCGGGGGCCCAGGACGGAGGGACCAACACAAGCTCCAGCGAACCGAGAGAATTGTCCAAAACAAAAACACACATGCTGGAGCACGAGAACAAAACTCAGTTCAGGAGGCCGGCCCGGAGGCTGACAACTCAGAAGTCCAGGACAGTTCATCTTCTGAGGCCGGCCACGTCGGCGACGTAGATCCATAAGCCGACCGAGCGGAAGGCAGCGGTGGCGGAGTGGAGGCAGTTCAGAGGGCCGACCGTGCACACGGCAGCGGCGGCGACGGGGAAACCGTTCAGGCGGCCGACCGTGCGGACAGCAACGGCGGCGACGAGGAAACCGTTCAGGCGGCCGACCGTGCGGACAGCAATGGCGATGATGACACAAGTCTGGAGGCCGACCGCGCAGAAGGCAGCGGCGGCGTCTAGGAGGTCGTCCATATTGACGATGACGCTCCACCAGCGGCCTGGTAGATGACCGCCGATGTCGAGGCGGCAGTTCGGGACCCGAAGGTGGCGTGGCCGTCGCAGCACCAGACGAGACCGAAGCAGCGGCTGGTCCAGGCGCGGCTGAAGCTGAAGCGGAGGCCGGTCCAGGCTGAAGCTGAAGCGGAGGCCGGACCAGACGAGGCTGAAGCAGAGGCCGGACCAGGCGAGGCAGATGACGAGGCTGAAGCAGAGGCCGGACCAGGCGAGGCAGATGACGAGGCTGCAGCCGGGCCAGGCGAGGCAGATGACGAGGCTGCAGCCGGGCCAGGCGAGGCAGATGACGAGGCTGCAGCCGGGCCAGGCGAGGCAGATGACGATGCTGCAGCCGGGCCAGGCGAGGCAGATGACGATGCTGCACCGGGCGAGGATGAAGGCTCGGAGGCTGCAGCTGGCGAGGATGATGAGGCTGCAGCAGGCGACGGCGTGGAAGCCGGAGACTGTAGCGCTGCAGGCGTGGAAGAAGCTGCTGCTGCCCGTGGCGTGGATGAAGCTGCAGCTGGCGAGGATGATGAGGCTGCAGTTGGCAGCTGGACGGGCTCCTCGGGCCCTCCAGCTGACGAGGCAGGAGGCTGGCTAGGTTCTCCTGAACCTCCAGCTGACGAGTCTTGAGGCTGGACGGGCTCCTCGGGCCATCCAGCTGGCGAGACAGGAGGCTGGACGGGCTCCTCGGGCCATCCAGCTGGCGAGACAGGAGGCTGGACGGGCTCCTCGGGCCCCCCAGCGAAAACAGTCTCTGGACCAGTGGGCACCGGGGCCCCTGGAACACACAGGTCAGAACCAGTAGGCGCACGGGCCTCTGGCAGGCACAGTTCAGAACCAGCAGGCACACGGGCCTCTGGCAGGCACAGTTCAGAACCAGCAGGCGCACGGGCCTCTGGCAGGCACAGTTCAGAACCAGCAGGCACACGGGCCTCTGGCAGGTACGGGTCAGAACCAGCAGGCACACGGGCCTCTGGCAAACACAAGGCAGACTGCAGCTGCACAGAGCATTGACCCAGCTCGGGCAGCGACAGCCGGATACAGTCCTCAGCTGGCTTCTTAATCTCCAGGGGTCCAGAGTCGGCCGGGGGCTGGGACCCAGCCTCTGGGAGGCCCTGGAGTGTGTCACAGTCTCTGGGCTGGCCAGCTTTTGAGGACTGATTACAATATTATGTGGTGTGTCTCTCTGCTTGACATGAACAGGTGAAAAATAGTTCTTTCCGGGTTGGATGGACTTAACTTGTTGTGCAGGAGGAGTTGGTGACAACGATGGCTGAATAGGTGATAATAAGGCGGATGAGTCTCTTGTCAACTGAGCTATTGACTGAGCTATGGATTGTAACCAAGTGTCTAATAGGTCTGGCTGTGACTGTAATGGGGGTGACGGTTGAGTGGCTAACTGAGCTAGTGGCTGCTGGGCAGCTAACTGAGCTACCGGCAGGGCAGCCGACTCAAAAAACACAGCCCCGGAATAAACAGACACACAGTCCAAAACAGAAAAAGGGTCCTTTTCACTCACCACAGCTGGCAGTTCCAAAGTCCTAGTCTTCGGCTGTGGGGTGATGCGCCGACGGCGCGATCGTCGCTTCCTCCCGGGCAAAACCTCCGGCGGGCCGGGCAAAACCTCCGGCGGGCCGGGCAAAACCTCCGGCGGGCCGGGCAAAACCTCCGGCGGGCCGGGCAAAATCTTCGCCGCCGGGCTGAGTTGGGAAGCGGTAGCGGCTGGTGGGTGAAGGTGCAGTTCGTTGAGTATGAAGTCCTGTACGAGCGGGTGAAGAGAGTCCAGCAGCCAGGAGTGAGCAGAGATGAGCTGCTGTAGCCTGGCTTCTACAGCGCGGAGACACTCTTCCCCCTCATGCTCGAGCCATAGGTTAACCAACCTGGAAACAGAGTCAATTAGTTCCTCCCGAAGCTCCTCGGGAGGTGCGGATGCCGCTGGGTCCATGTTTGGTCGGCTCGTACTGTCACGGCTGGGGGAGGGAGCCGTGTGGTGTGGAGGAAAAGGAGGACCCAAAATGCAGCAAACTGATGATACGAATGACGTTTTATTTACAGGGTGGTAGTGGCAAAAACAGGCAACGAAGCACGAGTAATTACAAACGGAAACCTAAACTGGGAGAAACTAAAGAGCAAACCTGAAATCTTACAAAACGGAGAGCGGAGCAGAGAGACGCAGACCAAGGACCAGGATACCAAGAAACACAGACGAGCTGACAACGAACACAGACTGACACCCACTATATATACACACACACACAAGGTAATCGGGTAATCGCACACAGGAGGGATGAACAGCTGATCCGAATACACATGATGACTGGAGGACACAAGCTGAACACAATGACAACAGACACAGACCTTCAGAACAAAACAGGAAATCTAGAACCCGAACCGGACACAAGGGGGGAGGACACAGAATAACTAGAACAGAGGGAAATAATCACAAAACACAAAACGCTGGGTCAACGACCCAGGACCATGACAGTTAAAGCGTATCATGTCAACCAATCAAAAAATTAAATGGCA